CGTTTCGACGGACCATTCACCTTGAAGTCAGGAAGGAAATCGCCTTACTTTTTCAATGCTGGATTGTTTTGCGATGGAGAGAGTATCGCCCAGATTGCGAGTTGTTATGCTCAGATGATCAAGGACTCGGCTTTGGAGGTGGATGTGATTCTGGGACCCGCTTACAAGGTGCGTTGGTGGTGCTTGGTCTGCAGGAACAGCATGAAGAAGGTGGAAGTGTCTGGTATGCATAGAGCATCATTACGGGGGGAAATGTAAGAGCGGTGCCTGATGCTCGCAACGACGAGGCTGACTTGGACTGCTCCTGCTTGCGCGACCTCGCAGGGAATCCCTTTGGCTGCTACAGTGACACAAGCATTGTACGAGAAGCACAACATCCGCGTAGGATTCGCCTACAATCGCAAAGAGGTCAAAGCTCACGGCGAAGGAGGAATTCTAGTAGGCGCACCGCTCAAAGGAAATGTCTTGATCATCGACGACGTCATGACGGCAGGTACTGCTATCGGAGAGGCGATCAAGTTCATCGAAGGAGCGGGCAAAGAGGCCAAGTTGGTTGGAATTGCTATTGCGCTAGATAGACAGGAGAGAGCGACGGAAGAGACGGACTTGAGCACGGCTACGGCTGTCAGTAACAAGTATCAGGTTCCCGTACTGAGCGTGGTGAATGTGGAGGATATCATGAAGTACCTGGCTAACGAGGGAGGATGGGATCAGCAAATCGAAGCTATGAAGGAGTACAGGCTCAAGTTCTTTGGAAAGTAGGCAAGAACACATGTAGAAGCCAGTCGGGTCTAACCAATGTCGTGTATGCGCCTAATTCGACACCTCGACAAGTCGGTGCGCAGAGAGAAGCAAAGCCCTTATCAAAGCTCATTCGTGCGGTCTATGCTTTCGACGAGCGGCCACACATCTGCCAGATACTTGCGTCTTACCTTGCATCCACACCGCACCGCACCGCACCGCACCTGATCCTCACTCGTGCCAATTTGACCCAACAAGATCACGCACCTCGCCCCGCCTCGCTCTGCATGCAATCCTTATCCTCTTCATCCGTCACCTCACTTGAACTAGAGATCAAGAATCGAGCACGAAATTGTTAAAAAATCCTTTTGATGTTCTATGGGAGGGAGCGGTGGGGGAGCGGGGAAGGGGAAACGTCAAGAGTCTGACGATGTACTCACGACTGTGACTATAGCCAAACAAGCTCAAGATGACTGTAGGACATGCAGGCGTGATACTTGGGGCGCAGACGAGCGCAGCAAACCAACGATCACGTGCTGCCTGCCTGCCTGCATGCATGCCGTCAAATTTTGAAATTTGAGCTGCGTGAGGCTCACCTTCTCTTGCGCGACAACTTGCATCGGTCGTGAGAGTGCGTACTCACACTGGTAGCCGGCTGCCACTTTGACCGCTTTGCTCTTGCTGCGCGCAAGCGCCTTTCATTCAATGATCCATCACTCGTTCTCCCGTCAGCTTCTCCCCGCACACGCGACCATTCTCGGAGAGCGAATTGCCTGCCAGCCCTTGCACCCAGCACGGAATCCTTCACTTGTGGCAGAACTAGAGCGGAACCATCTTTGATTCGTCCACCGACTAGCTCAATCGTCGACGAGCGTGGCGGATCTCTCGAACAAACAAGCATTGCTTCCCGAGGCACGAGGCAAGAGCGACTCAAGCACTACACTTGATCTTGTCGAACATGGCTTCCACTTCGCGCAGTGCTGACCAGGCAGCATTACCCGCCAACATCGAGGCGCCTCGACAGCTGTGCGTGCATGCGGCCCGACCGGGCCCTCCCAGCAGCAGCAGCAGCAGCAGCTTGAGCTTGGGTTTGGGAGATGCGGCGATACCTGGACAAATATTCAAAGCTTCGAAAGAAAAACATATACGAAGAGTCAGGGGGGCTGCAGTCTGGTATGCTCCTTTTGAAGGAGAAGTCAGGGTAGTCGATGTGAGTTACACTTGGCGCGCTTCGTGTTTGCTTGTTAGAAGTGAAGACTCTTGACAGCTAATGCTGAGTTGTCTACACGTGCACACCACGCAGTCATCGACCAGCGAAGCGTTGTCCACCTATCTGCTACCTGCTCCTCACTCCGGCCACGCCTACACAAACGTCGCACCTCATCTGCCCAACCTCATCTCCTCTCCTCTTGTCCTCTTCAACGCTCCTTCCGCTTCTCCCGACATCGATACAGATTCGAAAGCGACGCACGCCTACCTACCGGCACGCAAGGGAGAAGAGTATGGTGTGGTGCAGTGGATAGAAAAGGGTGGAATAGCAGAGAGAAGCTGGATCTCGCTTCACAAACCTGCTGCTCATTTGGCTCTGCTCAGTGCCACAGTCCTACTAGCGCTGCACGCCGACGGCTCGCAATCCCTTGCAGACCTAAGCAACAAAGACATGCACTTTGTCCAGACCTTTTTGCCGTCCTTGACGAGTCCTATTCAGACGCATTCGGTCCTCGCTGTGTTGGCGGGCAAGTCGGCGTGGGACAGATTACCCTCGCTCAAACCCAGTGCAAGCTTGGACGAAAGCAACAGCAAGGCTTTAGTGTTTTCGCTATGTGGATCAGCGGCACCCGAATTGATCGGAGCGGCTTCAGCGGGAAAAAGACGAGGTAAAGGTCACAAGAGGGACAAGAGGGAAGAAGGCACACCCCAGGTACAGCAGTCGCAGCAGAGTGCAGAAACCGTCTCGAGCAGGAAGAAATCCAAAACCCTGACTTTGCGGGTACACATCGTTGATCCGACTGCTTGCAGAGCCGGATTTGAAGCGCAGGGTCCAAATGGTCTGCTGGCTGATCTACCCATCCAGTCGGCACGCGCAGACGAGCTGCTTTCGATCTCGCTGAGCAGCGACGCCAAAAGCCTCGTCACCTTGTGTAAGTGGATACGGGCACCTATGTTCAATTAGTAGACCACTCTGACCGGCAGGTGCGCTCTGCAAATCGTTTCTGGTCGCCTCCGCAGCCATTCAAGGAGTCCTTCAACAGTACGCGCTTAATCTCTCGACAATATCGAGCGCATCCTCGCTCGTTCAGTCGCCGGCAATCACGATAATTCGATGTCCATCGCCGCCAACAAACATGGCCGAAGACGCTGCTTTCCCTTCGACCTCTTCCAAGGTCAAGAGCCCTTCGCTACCTGCCGGCACCACCATGGTGCACCTTCCGCACGCCCATGTGCTCTTCGTGCTGCCGCCCAGCGAAGGCACTTCGACTCCCCAGCCTGGAGCATACCTGATCAGCTTGGTGCTCGGCGCAGTGCTGGACTATGAGCCTACTCAGGTGCCTGGCACTTCGGGAGCCCAAGGTCAGACGTCTCTAAGCATCAGAGCTGCTCGGATTGGAGGAGGCGTCCTCCTCGCTCAGACGCGCGTGCACGGGACACGAGCTTCGATGAGCAAAAAACACAAGAATTCCTCTGCCGCTGTCGGATCTGGACCTGGAGAGTGTAGAGTCGCGAGCGTGCCGGTTGACGTTCCGAACGCAGCTAGCATCAAATGGGCTATCGGACAGGAGACTAGAGCCTGGACGAACGCGTTGCTTTGGCCTCCTGGCACGCCCATCTCAGTCAGTCTGTCGACGCTGGCTTCTGCCAAAGCATCGCATGCGCATTCATCGACGGACCCGACGGCAGAGAAGCACGAACTCGTCGTGGCTCTACGAGCTGCAGACTCTGCCAGCGCCAAGGATGACGTCTTCAAAGCGTGGTACGATGTGGAAAAGGGAAGAATCGCCCAGGCGGAAGCGAAAGCTGCGCGCACTCGGGCGAGCGAGCTTGCGCACGCTAGGAAAGTGGCCGCCCGCAGGAATAGGCAGGCGAATAGTGGGACGATGGGTAAGAGCGAGGATGAGGAGGAGAGGGATGTGCAGATGGAGCTGGAAAGGTTGATGCTGCAAAAAGAACGGGAAACGGATGCGAATGTGAAAGAAGGCAAGGTGCAGGGAACGGATAAGGAGCAAGCGTCAAGGCCTGCCTTGCCTGGCGCAGTCGTAAGACTTTTGGTAGAAAAGGCTTTTGCGCATGCGCATGCGCCCAACAATCCGGCCGTCGCTACAGCTCTACTGCACCACTTGATGCTGTGGAGAATGCTCTCTGCAAGTCAGGTGTTGGAATTGTCGTTCACCGACGAAAACGACAAGCAAGGCGAATCTAAGGGACTCATTGCTCGGCTGCTGGACCTGCAAGAATGGGACTTGGCACTTTTGGCAGCGACGAACGTGTCGGATGTTCAAGAGTACGAGCTTGTCCTTCTCTTGCTGCGCTCTTTTAGAGCGGAGCGAGGACGAAAGCTCCGCGATGCCTCGTCTAACAAGGGAGTAGCAACAGCAGCTTCGCCCGCGCGCGTGCTGGCGGTCCTGACTAGCAGACCCGAGCTGATCGATTCGGCAGCTTTCAAACATGCTCTGCTCAAAAGTCAATTGACGGATGCGGATCGCGTAGCAGATCTGCTCGCGAGGTTGCACGATTGGCTGCTGGAAGGGTCTATAAATCAGACGAGTCACTTGGGCAAGGGAATAAGGGTCAATATGAACTTGGTGCCGAAGTTGAAGAAGAAGGGCAACAAGAGATCGCACATGGAGAGAGCGCATGATGAAAACAAGATCGTCAGACCTGGAGTGGACGAGGTGAGCATGCTTGATCGGTAAAGGGGGCGGGGCAGGGTTCGCAACTTTGATTCTCAATTTGCTCACCTGCACAATTTGCATCCGCTTCCCTTTTCTCGAACGTGGCGGCGCTCTCACACAGTGCCTGACAATGTTGACGGTACTATTGGACGTCTATTTCCCGCTCCTTTTGCAATCCCCAACAACTTGGAGCGTCCTCACACGACTATCCAAGACGCTCTCTCAACTCGTACGATCTTCCAACGCCCTCAAACACCTCTTGGGTCCTCTATCCGCTTTCCAACGCCTCTCTTCCGATCTTTCCCACATCTCCAAATTCTCGCCCCACCAGCATCATCATCATCATCATCAGCAACATGCCGCCGCAAGTGCAAGCGTGACAGAGTCGGAAAGACAAACGAGCGCAAGACGTACAGCCATCGCTGCCGTCGACCTCCGATCGGCTCCTACTGGCGTCAAGGAGACCGGAGGCGGATTGGGACACGCCAATTTGATAGCTGCAAAGACGGCGCACAGGACCGGAGAGGCTAGAAAGGGAGATTCGGTGCGCGTAAAGGCTATTCAAGAAAGCGCGCTCGTCGGTCCGTATACAGTCGAGAGATTGGCTTTCTAGCTAAACTTTCGTCGTGCGCCTTGTGCCCTGCAAGACATGTACCGCCACGTCAATCGCGCTAATGCTCAGGCCCACATGGCTGAAGTTCTTTGCCCGCACTTTCTGTGCACTACATTTGTTTTTCCTCCGTTGTCGAGCACCCGAAAGAGCATACTGTAATACATGGCGCGAGCCTCGAGAGCACAAAGACACGAAAAGAAGACGGAAATGCGGTGCCCTCG